TCTGCTTCTTTCCTATTATTTCAATTCTCTGAACTCTCTATCAAGCTTTGTTTTGGCAGTACTTGCTGTACCTCCCACAGCCCACATCCCTAAGCTACCTAGGACTACTAGGTCGGACTATAAGGTCAAGCTTCCGTACAACCATAGCCTTTGGCTGTAACTGTGCTGGGAGGACCTTGCCCTCCAAGCAGGGACTTGTATGTGGCTTTGCCACAAGAACACCTTAATAGCTGCTCTCCACACATATAAATTTTATTTATTTGAAAATAAAAACTTTCGATGAGAAACCAAGATGGCGGCATAGGTAAGCACTGGAAATTGCTGCCTCCCACAAATTCAAAAATACAACTAAAAGACAAAACGGACATCATCCAGAACTACAGGAAGGCTAGCGGAGTGGAAATTCTACAACTAGAAGGAAAGAGAAAAGCACACTGAGACTCAGAGGAGCTGGGTAAGTGCAGAGGCAAGGAGGCAGACATGGCAAGGGCTGGCAACTGAGGACTTGGCTGTCTTTCTAAATTGGGAGGGAGTCACAAGCCCCCAACTGCTCGGAACTCCAATTCCGGGTGAGTCTCTGGGGACCCAGACACATACGGGGAGAAACTGGACTGTCTGGCAGCGGGCAGATCTGGGAACTTCAGGGTGGCTTCCTCTCAAAGGTGCTTGGAGTGATTACCAGGACACTGAGACACAGGGCCCCTTAGGGCAGGGCTGAAAATCAGCCATAGCTGCTAGCTCCGCCCTGTTGATTCCCTGAGACCCCGCCCCACCCAGGCTGGGGCAGAGGCTTTTGCATACGAATGCCCTGGCCCTTTGCAATCTGAAAATTACCTAACAAATTGCAGCTGGGCCAGACAGACCCAGAACTTCCAAGAGAAGGCCCAAGGCCCAAGGCCCTACAGCAGCATGCATTGCTTCACAGCTGGGCCTCATCTGGGCACCTCCAAATCCCAAAAAAGGAAGGGGAATCTGCAGACTCTTCGCAGCTCGGGTTGGGTAGCCTCAGGCAGAGGCTAAATTAGCACCTCCTTAGATCCAAGAGCCAGTGTGCCCAGTGGTCAGAGTGGGACCATCCAGATTACAACTCCTCGGATCCATAAGGGACACACTCAGGGGGCAGACTCAGTGAGCACCAAAGCCCCACTAAAGCAAGTCTTGCCCCAGAAGGGTGTCTTCAGCACAGAAGTTCTCCCACCATAGACACAGCTGATTCTCACAGCCCATTGGCCTGGAGCTCAATTCCTCCCAGTGATACCTACAACAATCAAGGCTTAACTACAACAAGACTGTGCACAAAGCCCACAAAGGGGTGCACCAAGAGTGTCCACCTCAGGTAATTGGGGAGGCTGAGCCACTGGTCCCTATAGGACACCTAGCACACAAAGCCACTCTACCAACACAGTGAAGCATGAAAAATGCGGAGACAAAGGAACAGGTCACAAATGACAGAAATGGAGGAAAGCAAACAACTGTATATAGAGTTCAACACCATGGTTATAAGGTTTTTGACGAATTTTCTGGAAACAGCCGATAAATTTAGTGAGACCCTGGAGGATATGAAAAAAGACCAACTAGAAGTTAAGCATACACTGACTGAAATAAAGAATAATACAGAGAGATCCAACAGCAGACAAGAGGATCCCAAGAATCAAGTCAAAGATTTGAAATACGAAAAAACAAAAAATACCCAACTGAAAAAGAAAAAAGAATCCAAAAATATGAAGATAGTGTAAGGAGCCTCTGGGACAACTCAAGCGGTACAACATCAGAATATAGGGGTGCCAGAAAAAAGAGAGGAGGGCAAGAATATTGAAACCTATTTAAAGAGTAATTGCCGAACCGGTTTGGCTCAGTGGATAGAGCATCGGCCTGCGGACTGAGAGGTCCCAGGTTCGATTCCGGTCAAGGGCATGTACCTGGGTTGCGGGCACATCCCCGGTGGGGGATGTGCAGGAGGCAGCTGATCGATGTTTCTCTCTCATCGATGTTTCTAACTCTCTCTATCTCCGCTCCCTTCCTCTCTGTGAAAAATCAATAAAATATATTAAAAAAAAAAAAAAAAGAAAAAAAAAAAGAAAAAAAAAAAAATACCCAACTGGAAAAGAAAAAAGAATCCAAAAATATGAAGATAGTGTAAGGAGCCTCTGGGACAACTTCAAGCTTACCAACATCAGAATTATAGGGGTGCCAGAAGAAGAGAGAGGGCAAGATATTGAAAACCTATTTAAAGAAATAATTGCCGAACCGGTTTGGCTCAGTGGATAGAGCATCGGCCTGCGGACTGAAGGGTCCCAGGTTCGATTCCGGTCAAAGGCATGTACCTTGGTTGCGGGCACATCCCCAGTGGGGGGCGTGCAGGAGGCAGCTGATCGATCTCTCTCATCGATGTTTCTAACTCTCTATCCCTCTCCCTTCCTCTCTGTAAAAAATCAATAAAATATATTTTTTTTAAAAATAAAATAAAAAAAATAAAGAAATAATGACAGAAAACTTCCCCTACCTCGTGAAAGAAATAGACTTGCAAGTCCATGCTGGGGTCCAGCCCCAGGGGGTCCAGGGGGTCCCAAAGGTGTGGACGGAGTCGGCGAAGAAGGTTTTACACAGAGACAGCGTTCAGAACTCTCTAGCTTTTCTTAGTCTCCGTGGATCTTCCCTGTGCCTGGCTGAGGCCACAGAAAAAAGATCCCAAGGCAAGCTGAGCCTTTATTTTATAGTGAGCGGTAAACAAGGTAGTGGTTTCCATAGTTACACAGTTCTTGTAAGTTTCACTTGTTTACACTGTTGTAAGTTTCACTTGTTTTTGTTCTTGTTGCACTTCCCTCAGCCCATTAGCTTCCCCAGTAAGATCTAGGGAGCGTCATAAGGTCAAGCCTAATTATGCTAAGAGGACTGTGCTCTCTAAGCTGGGAATTGTTTATGACTTTGCCCACAGGTCAGTCCGAGGCTTAACCCTATATCAGCTCCCCACAAGTCCAGAAAGCATAGAGTACCCCAAACAAAAGGAATCCAAAGAGGACCACACCAAGACACATCATAATTAATATGCCAAGAGCAAAAGACAAAGAGAGAATCTTAAAAGCAGCAAGAGAAAAAAAGTCAGTTACCTACAAGGGAGTACCCATACGACTGTCAGCTGATTTCTCAACAGAAACTATGCAGGCCAGAAGAGAGTGGCAAGAAATATTCAAAGTGCTGAATACCAAGAACCTACAACCAAGATTACTTTATCCAGCAAAGCTATCATTCAGAATAGAAGGTCAGATAAAGAGCTTCACATATAAGAAAAAGCTAAAGGAGTTCATCACCACCAAACCAGCATTATATGAAATGCTATTCTTTAAGAAGAGGAAGAAGAAGAAAAAGGTAAAGATAAAAATTATGAACAGCAAATACATATCTATCAACAAGTGAATCTAAAAATCAAGTGAATAAAAAATCTGAACAGAGTAAACTAGTGAATAGAATAGAACCAGGGGCATGGAAAGGGAGTGGACTGATAATCTTGGGGGGAAAGGGGTGTGGGGGTGCAGGAAGAGACTGGACAAAAACTGTACACCTATGGATGAGGACAGTGGGAGGGGTAAGGGCAGAGGGTGGGGTTGCAACTGGGTGGAGGAGAGCTATGGGGGGAAAAAAAAGAGGAACAACTGTAATAATCTGAACAATAAAGATTTAATTAAAAAAATAATAAAAATAAAAACTTTCAAATGTTACCATGTGACAGAGCAATTCCAGTCCTAGGTATACATACCCAAGGCCCAAAAATGTCTATACTAACACTTGTACATTAATACTCACAGCAGTATTACTCATAGTAGCGAAAATGTAGAAACAACACAATGTCTATTAACATGAAAGGATAAAAACAAAATTTGGCATTATCTACACAATGTAGCATTCTTTAGCAATATAAAGGAATGATGTACATATATATGTCAACATGGGTAAAGCCTGAAAATACTGTTCTAGGTCAGAGAAGAGAATAAAAGACCACAGGATTTCATTTATATGATATTCATATATGTGAATATACCTAAAACCACTGTACACTGTAAATGGGTTAATTGGATATGATCGTGGTATATGAATTCTATCTCTAAGCTACTTTACAAAAACAAAAATACATACAGCATTTTCTTGTTACTAGCAACAGACATACACATGCCCCAATGAGAGCCAATGGAATTTGAATTTTTGGTGGAGCAAGCAGACAGAGGGCAGGATCAAGGCAAGTTGAAATTGATTGGATATGTGAACAAAAGCAGGTTGATGAAATAAACCTAACAAGCTCAGTGACCAACACAACCTCACAGGATAATCTCATCAAATTCCTATCTAGTATATGGATAGCCCATGGACAGACAATAGTTTCGTGAAGACCTGGGGAGAAAGCGGGGGGGAGGTGCGGGGGAAGAGGACAAAATACTTTCAACAATAAAGATAAATTTAAAAAATAAAATAAAAAATTTCTAACTGGGCAGGCCATGGTGGGTAGTTACTCCAGGCTTAACGCTCCCTCAGTAAAAGGTATCTTTCCCTTAAGCAAGCCCTGTCCATTGTTCTTGTGCACCTAGGGCAACACACCTTTGAAATGCCAGAGTAATTTTGCCAGTCCCCTACCAGGGGAACTAACCTGGAGGGAGCACAAGATCTTATCACCTATATATCATCCCTACTTATTGTAAAATGTTAACATCCTGTACCCAGCAATGTATGTATCTCTCCATTTTACTTTTTATCCAATGATCCCCTCCTTGCTTTCTCCAGCCTCTGTAATGGACAGCCAATTAATTTCATGTAATCCTTTTTTCTTACAAATGCATAAAAACAACTGCATAATTAACATTCTCCACAGCATTTTCTTAGTCTGTTGAGGTCTTGCTTCCATGCATGTCCTGTTAGCCTCAAATAAACTTATAAAATTTTTCTATGTTTGGACACTCATTGACAGATAAATGCCTAGAGATACTGGGGCCACATAGTGAAGGGAACTGTACCTGAGAACGAAGTCAATGCTGAAGCCAAGCTCAATTCAGAGATGCAGGATGAGGCCATACCTGAAGGTCAAGTTACATAATCTTTAAATTATGATCCAATACATTTCTTTGGGGGCTTAAAAAAACACAGTAATCTATTTATGATTTCTCTCTTAAAATTTAACAATACCATAATTCCTTATAACAGTTTGCAACTTTAATCACAAGCTAAAAACTTTATTTACAAATAAAGTCTTGTAATTTAAGAACCATAGTGACTCTCATTAAATCTGCAATCAATATTAACTATTAACAAATGTCTCACTTGCTTTTCAATTTACAAGGACACTTAGGATATTAAGAATAAACAGCTACAGAGCTGCCTCCCAACAAAGCATTTAGAATTCTTCAAGGTCCACATGATTTTGTCTTTCTTTACAAGGCTTATTACAAAGTAAATGTTTTAAAACTTTTGTAATTTTTTTAATTGATTTCTGATAGAGGAAGGAAGAGGGAGAGGATAGAAACATCAATGAGAATTCTTGATAGGGTGCCTCCTGCACACCTCCCACTGTGGATCAAGCCAACAACCTGGACATGTGCCCTGACCGGAAACCAAACGCATGACTCAACCACTGAGCCACACAGGCCAAGCACAAAGTAAATTTTAACTTGCATTTCTATAAACAAGGTTGGTAAATTATTGTCTCTATCTCATATTGTTTTCTATGTCTCTTTCACACAGTATGCCTCCAGTGGGGGATGAGGGGTGTGGCAAAAAAAACCTAGATAGACAAAAAAAAAGTCTTGAAATTCACCTTTATAAAAGCCTTTTAAAACAGGTTAGATCAATTCTCTAGATATTTATGTTACTATTGTGTCCAAAACCGTAATAATATAAAGAATATATGCCGAAACCGGTTTGGCTCAGTGGATAGAGCGTCGGCCTGCGGACTGAAGGGTCCCAGGTTCGATTCCGGTCAAGGGCATGTACCTGGGTTTCGGGCACATCCCCAGTGGGAGATGTGCAGGAGGCAGCTGATAGATGTTTCTCTCTCATCGATGTTTCTAACTCTCTATCTCTCTCCCTGCCTCTCTGTAAAAAAATCAATAAAATATATTTTAAAAAAATATATAAAGGATATGGAGCTTCCAGCACTTCAGGGAAGTAATATAGAAAATATAGAAAAGTACAGTTTTGGAGCAAATTAGCCCTAGGTGGAGAATTTAATGGAGGCATTCATGATTTCAAAAAGGCCTGCAGGTAAAAACAAGAGTTGTTTCTGGTACTTCCTTATAAAAACAGAACCTACAATAGAATCGATAGTGAAAACTTCAAAGCTGGGTAAGTTCATGTAGAGCTTAAATTAGCAAACTGAATTTTGTGTAATATCTAGTATATTGTCTTAGGCCATAAAATGTATTTCCTCTAACATGGCAACAGCTAAAATTTATTAAGCAATTACCATGTTAGGAGCTGTTCCAAGTGCGTGTGTATTATGACAACAATCCAAGAGGTAGTTACTACTGTTATCCTCATTTTACAGACCAGATAACTGAGACAAAAAAGTTAAATATCTTCTCAAGGTTACTTTTACTCTCAGTAAAGCCAAGATCTGAAGCTCAGCAGTGTAACTGCAAACACTGTGGTTTTAATCATCACTCTTTTTTTTTAATATATATTTTATTGATTTTTTACAGAGAGGAAGGGAGAGAGATATTGTTAGAAACATCGATGAGAGAGAAACATCGATCAGCTGCCTCCTGCACACTCCCCACTGGGGATGTGCCCGCAACCAAGATACATGCCCTTGACTGGAATCGAACCTGGGACCCTTGAGTCCACAGGCCGATACTCTATCCACTGAGCAAAACCGGTCAGGGCTTAATCATCAATCACTCTTGAATTTTATAAGATGAAAGCCCAGGAGATGATCACTTTGGCTTTATTGGTTGGTATCTCATAGAATGGCTCACCCAAAGTTGTGACGTCTTCAACACCATGTGCCAGAAATAATAAATAAAAGCAACCAAGTAAGAAACAGAGCAGCACATCAAAATTAAAATGCCAACGGTTTAATACAAAGAAGGAATCTTAAAAAAACAGCAAGGGAGACCTGGCAGGATTGGATCAATGGATAGAGCTCCGGCCTTCAGACTTCAAGTGTCCCAGGTTCAATTCCGGTCAAGGGCACATACCTGGGTTGCAGGCTCGATTCCCAAGAGGGGGCATGCAGGAGGCAGTCGATCAACGATTCTCTCATCATCATTGATATGCTATCTCTCTCTTCCTCTCCCTTCCTCTTTGAAATCAATAAAAATATATTTTAAAAAAAACAGCAAGGGAGCTTAGTTACCTACTAGGGAATTAGTTACCTACAATTGAGCGCCCATATGACTGTCAGCTGATTTCTCAACAAAAACTTTCAGGTCAAAGAGGAGTGGCAAGAACTATTCAGTGATGAATAGCAAGGACCTAGAAGCAAGATTACTATACCCAAGAAAGCTATCATTTAGAATTTCAAGTCAGATAAGGAGCTTCACAATCAAGAAAAAGCTAAAGTAGTTTATCACCACCAAGCAGTATTACATGAAATGTTGGTCTTCTTGAAGATGAATAAAAAGAGATAAAAATTTGAACAAGAGGCTGGGCATGGACCTATGAACCAGGAGGTCAAGGCACATGCCTGGGTTGCAGGCTGGATCCCCAATAGGGGGCGTGCAGGAGGCAGTCTTATCATTGATGTTTCTATCTCCCTTCTCCCTCTCCCTTCCTCTCTGAAATCAATAGAAATATATTGGGGAAAAAAAGAATCTCTTCCATATCTTGCAAAGATGAATAACTCACTCAATGCTAAGCTAACCACATTATTTCTAAGTTTTGTCATCAAATCCATTGTGTACTAGTTTAATTTTTAGCCAATGCAGATTCATTTAATTAATAATTTTGTCCCACAGCAGATATATTAGGCTACTTAGAAGTAAAATACTTACCTTTCAATGTTACTCTTTCATTGTATGTGTTCCCATTTCTCTCCAAACATGTCGGTGTCCCTCCACAATGTTTACTTTTTTGATCCTGGGACAGCAAGAAACTACTATATAATTACTCAATATAAAATTTATATATCACCTTTACTTATATTAAATTTACAATAAAAATACATGCCCATCTGCTCCCTTGATAACACTGCTGTGCAAAGCTCTGTTACTTAAAGTTGCACGAAAAGCATACTAATTTTCTTGAATTTTGAAGTGTGCAAAGAAACAAATACTAACTAGGTCAGGCCCCACAGGTGTGGCCCAGTGGTTCAGCATAGACCCATGAACCAGGATCAGGACAACCAATCACTGATTCTCATCACTGGTGTTTCTGAATCTCTCTCCCTCTCCCTCTCTGAAAAATCAATAAAAATGCATTTAAAACACACAAACACAAAAACAAACAAAAAAAACCCCACCTAGGTCTGGCCTAAATTGCTGCTCACTTTTCAAGTTAGAATTCATGTACCCTTCTTCCAGGTCTACTGTCCTTTCATTCCCAAGCAAAAGTACTTTGGCCGGATGGCTCAGTTAGTTGGTGTGTACCCCATGACACCAAAGACTCGGGGTTCATTCCTGGTCAAGGCACAGACCGAGGTTACGGGTTCCATTCCCGGTTGGGGTATGCGAGGCAACCAAAGGATGTTACATACACATCGATGTCTCACTCTCTCCAAAATCAATAAAAATATATGTCCTCGAGTGAAATTTTAAAAAAAGTTCTTTACCTTAACCATTTTCTTTAATTAGATTAATAAAAGAATCCAACAGTAGAAGGGGGAAAAAATACGTAAGTAACTGAAACCTAAACACTCGTGCATGTTAATACTGAATAAAATTTAAATTTACAGCTCACATTAAGGTCTGCAACCCGACCGATTAAAATGCACTCCAGCCCTAACCGGTTTGGCTCAGTGGATAGAGCATGGGCCTGCGGACTGAAAGGTCCCAGGTTCGATTCCGGTCAAGGGCATGTCCCTTGGTTGCGGGCACATCCCCAGTGGAGGGTGTGCAGGAGGCAGCTGATCCATGTTTCTCTCTCATTGATGTTTCTAACACTCTATCCCTCTCCCTTCCTCTCTGTAAAAAATCAATAAAGTATATTTAAAAATGCGCTCGAAGCTCCTGCAGCATCCCCTGTTCTCTTTACAGTGCAGGCAGGCGCTGCAAGTATTACGAATAAATGCTCACTGGAGCGACTCCCCGAAAGCTGGCTGCGGAGCTCGGGACCCTCCGGGCCGGTGCCGAGGGACCCCGCGTCCCTCCACACCCCCCGAGCGAGCTCAGTGTGCACTTGTGCACTTGAAAACGCCTCCAGGAGCCAAGGACTACGAGGAGCGAAAACATCCCCGGCATCGGGCGTCCCCGGCCACTCGGCGTGCCAGTGGGTCGTTTGTTTCGGGAGGAACCGCTTAATAATGGGGGCGGGGCGGAAGGAAACGGTCTAGTTACAGATACGAAGCGCAAAACAAAGATTTTTTTTTTTCACCCCAGCCGACGGGAAAGAATTAAAAACAGAAGCTGCCCTTACACTCCCCACCTAAGCCACCTCCCTGCAGTTGAACCAAACGCGTGTTCCGCGGGCGCTCCCCGGCGGCCTCCAACGGCGGAGGCGGCGCCCTCGGGCTTCCGCGAGGCGGGCCTGGCCCAGCCGCGCGGGCACCGCGAGCAGGTCAGCGGGCCGGGCGGGCGGCCGGCCCGGGCGGCGGGACCCTCCCAACCGGGAGCCGCCCCAGCAGCGCCCTCAGCCGCGCGGCTCGTCACGGCCTCGGAACAAAAGCGCTCGGCGGACCGGGCGCGCGCCCCGCTCCCTGCCGCGGGCACCTGAACTCCCGGGGCCCACTGCCCGGCCGGCGACCCGGGAAGGTGAGCGAGGGACAGCGGGCGACGCGGTCCCACACTTACCGACCAGCTCGGCGCCAGCCGGGGTAAGAGGAGAGACGAGCCGGCCTCCCGGGTGCCGGACTTTTTAAGTCAACTCGGCCCGCCTCCAGGGGCGGGTCCAGCACGGGCCGGGGCTCCCGGAACAGCTGGGCTCCGCCCCGAAGGAGAACCAAGGCGGCTGCGAGGCCGGCGCCTCCGCGGTCCTAGTGCCGCCCGGATACCCCGCCGCCGCCGCCAGCCCCGCCCTCCAGTGGATCTCGCGGAAGTTTGCAAAGCGTAGCCGCGCTTCCAGTGGTGTAAACGTCTCCAGCCAAGGTTCGCTCCCTTTAATGTGAATCAGAATCGTCCGTGGCGGCTTGTTGGTTAAAAAGGGATCAAAGAGCACCACCTGTGGAATCACCAGCTCATAAGGTCTGTTGCTGCGGATCTCAGGACCAGTGAGTCCGTTATGAGGTCGGCAAACTTTCTATCAAGCATGTGAAAGAAAGTGCACCAAGTAAAGCCTAAGTGTCCCAAATAGCTTCAGGTGCTGCTCCTAAGTGGGACATGCACAGGTGGTCTGGACCATCCGGTTGAGGCTTGTGCCAATACAGTACCTTCTGGTCAGACACTTTCACAGAGACAGCACCGAGATCTGAGCCGAGCCGCAGAAATTACACACAAACAGGTTAGATGCAAGCACACAGGGGGTTTATTTACCAGTTCCTGATGGGTCTCAGACGCTGGGAAGGATCCACCCAGCGATGCTCGCTGGCTGATACACACAAAGGGGTAGAGGGCGCCGTTGGCAGCTGGCTCCTTTCGTGGATGGACAGTTAATTGGGCAGAGTCTCGTGCTGGGAACCGAGCTGTGAGCACACACAGGTCCTCAGGCTCTGTCGACAGGAGAGCTATGTGCTGCTGAGTTGATCAGACTGTCTGGTTATATACCCCTCTGTAGACGTGGTCTTCGTTGGTGTGTGTGTTATCAGCGGCTGCCATGTGTGGATCCCCCCCGGGGTCTGTTAATCTATGGGTGTGTACAGGCTTTGGGCGTTCCCATCAGATAGGTTGTTTACCAGTACTAGTGGGGTTACAAGGGTGCAATCCTGGGTCTCACACAGTATTCCTATATCTAACATTAGGTACTATAATAATTACTATAACAGTCCACACAGGGTTACATGCTTTAAGTCTTACATTCTAAGGTCCTAACGTTAAGTACCATAATGATGACTATAACAAGCACCACCTGTGGAATCACCAATTCATTAGGTCCACTGTTGCTGCTGGTCTCAGGACCAGTGAGTCCGTTATGAGGTCGGCAAACTTTCTATCAAGCATGTGAAAGAAAGTGCACCAAGTGAAGCCTAAGGGTTTGTGTTGTTTGTTTGTTTTTAGCCTATTGCAGTAGGGAGAACATCCATTAATGCAGAGGAACCTTCTCAAAAAAAAGGGGGGGGGGGGAATAGATCTTTATTTTTATTTTCCTCTTTTTTTAAGGCCTTTTTTTATAGGAGGGTTTTTATAGGAGGAAATAAACAAGGGGATCCTGTCTGAGTGACTTAAAAATGAGACGTGGCAGAGGTGTATAGTTCTTGCCCTAGGGAGAGCAGGATATTCCTTTGCCCTTGAGGTTCAATTCTTGGCTCTGCTTACTCAGTAGACATACAACCTTGGGGAAAATCATTTAACCTGTCTCTGCCCAGTTTTCCCATCTGTAAAACAAGCATAACACTAATACTTACCTAATAGGATCGTGGAGATAGTTATATAAGTTAATACACAACCTAGAGCAGATCAGATAGGAGGTTTTCCAGAACCTAAGCCACAAGGGTCAGCAAGCAGCAATGAACCCAAGGGAGAGGGAGTTTTGTTGCCAGAAAGTCTGATAGAAACCCCGCTCCTTTACAGCTTCAGGAAGGTTTAATGCCCAGCAAGATTAATGCCCAGGAAGCTTCAAGTCTATTTGGGATGAAATGAATGATCTCTCTGCAGTGCATCCTTGTCTGTGTTTGCACTGACTTTCTCCTGTCTCCTTTAGATAAATAAAGCCTGTCTGATTCCCCAAAAGTGTTTGATCTTTTCACCAATCCTAACATACAACTGAGATTTGTCACAAGTATCACATGATCTTACTCATATGTGGAATCTAATGAACAAAATAAACTGATGAACAAAATAGAGACAGAAGCATCCAACAGATTGTGGAATCTCAGAGGGAAGGTGGGGGAGGGGAGGTGTGTGGGAAGAGATCAACCAAAGAACTGGTATGCATTTATGCAATAGGGTGGTGAAGGGGGTGGGGTGGGGTGCGGGTGGGGGAACTAAAAGAGGTCAATGGGAAAAATAAAGGGACATATATAATACTTTCAGCAATAAAGATTAAAAATAAAAGGTTTGTGAATGGAAAGGGAGCTATGTAGTAAATCTGACATATTCAGTGACTGAAAGTAATCTCAAAGCGTGATCTGATCGTAAATTCCTAACTGGGCAGGTCATTGCGGACAGTCATCCCCCAGGTCTATAAAATGTTTATCTTTTCCTTAAGCAAGCCCTGCCCATTGTTCTTGCGCAGCGAGGTTAACACACCTTTGAAATGCCAAAAGTAATCTTTTTTTCCAGACCTTCAGGCAACCACCCTTAAGGGACACATGATTTTGTAAACTATCCTATAATCCAATCACAGAGATTTCCCTCCAGGCTTTCTCCTACCTTCTTGTAATCTTACAGTCCCTCCCCTTAATTCCAAATGCTTAAAAAGAACTGCAAAGCTGTCATTCTCCAGAGCACTTGAGATCTTGCTTTCCAGCATGTCAGTTCTTTGTCTCAAATAAGCTCTTATAAAAATTATCTACATGCTTCCAACATTCTTGTATCAAAAATCCATCCATATAGCAGCCCTGAGAAGTCACTAAGGAAGGAGACTTGCAAAGGGAGGGCACACCTGAAAGTAAGCTTAATCAAGGGCTGGGCTTTACATAGTCTTTTCTTCTGATATTTACAACTCTGTCAAACAAAGAACTTTGTTACCTATCTGGTCTGGCTGGGGAGAGATTCCCCTAAAAGATTAGATAGCTCTCCTGGCTGGTGTGACTCAGTGGTTGAGCATTGATCCATGAACCAGGAGGTTCATGATTCTCAGGAAGGTCGTCCAGAAGGAAGTCCGGTCTAATTAGCATATTATGCTTTCATCATTATAGTTAATGAAGATAAACTAGAACTATCATTTATGTCCATCAGTTTCAAAATCACAGTTGTTAGATCTGCTGCTAGATCTTATTGTGTTAAGAAATAATTTATTAAATTTTTTTGGATAACTTTCACATTGAATTAACTTCCTTTGTAATCTTATGTATTTTATTTTAAGCATTTCAAAGCATCGTTCTAAGAAGGAGTCTATTGGCTCCACCAAACTGTCAAAGAGATTTGTGGCATTAGAAAAATGAAACTAGCCCTGACCAGGGAACATACAAGTGTTAATGTAGTAACATTAAAACCTGTAAAGAATTTTTGTAAGTTTATTTGAGCCAAACTGTCGACAATTGCTGGGAAGCAGAACCTCAACAGATTGAGATAATGCTCCAGAGAATGTCAAGTTTTCATCTATTTTTATACATTGCAATCAAAGGAGGGGACATAGGTAGGTTACATGAAATCCATTGATGATAGTTTAGAGAGGTGGTAGAAAGCAAAGGGCGGGGGCGGGGGAATTCTGGGATTGGATAAAAACTAAAATGATGGACACATACTTAGGTGGGTGCAGGATAGTCAACAGTCAACAATTAACATGATAATAATAACAATGAAGGACCCCAAGGGGTCTGGAAAAAGGGAAGTTACAAGTTACCCAGACATTTCAAGGGTTATAGATGCAAAAAGAAAGATAGGCTCAGTTAAGGTAAAGGTTGACCTTGTCAATGAAGATATTGGCCTAGGAGGTAACTACCCACCATAACTGCTTTTAGTTAAAGTTAAACTTCAGACCATCCTTTGTGGTTACTTTTAGGTCTCTGAGTTTGCAAGACCACCGCCATGCAGGCCTTCCCTGAGCTTGTTAGGTTAGCATGTGACCCCTTTCGTCCACACAAGAAACAACTGATGAATGCATACTAAATAAGTGGAACAACAAATCGATTTATCTCTTTCTCTCTCCCTCCCTCTCTCTCAAATCAATAAATTTTAAAAAATTGAAAAGAAAAATTATCTCAGGGTTATATCCTTTGCATGGATCAATTTAAGTTACTGCCATGACTACATTCCAAATCCTAACAAATGAAGAAAGATAAAGGAATTTCAGCGTAAGACAATAAAAGCATAATATGCTAATTAGACCAGACGTCCTTCTGGACAACTTTCCTGATGAAGCCAGGACTTTGAGGGACGCCCAGGTTCCAGATGCCTGCCAGAGGCTGAAGGGAAGCCCAGGTCCTGGGTGCCAGAAGGAAGCTGGTACCGGCAGCCAGGGGAAGGAAGGCCTACTCTTGCACGAATTTCGTGCATCGGGTCTCTAGTGATAATATAAGAATACAGTGGGGCCTTGACTTATGAGTGTCCCGACTAATGAGTTTTTCAAGATACGAGCCGTCTCTCCGCCGATTTTTTGCTTTGAGTTGCGAGCTAAAATTTGGGTTACGAGCCAGCTTCAGATACCCCACCGCTAGTTGGCGCAGCGAACGGCACAGTGAACGCCACAACATCAGCCCAGCATCACGTGTCTCACTCAGTCACTTTAATGTCACAGTGATTTGACATAGGAGTAATTTGAGTTACGAGCTCCGTCACGGAACGAATTAAACTCATAAGTCAAGGCCCCACTGTACCTGTGATATTATGGTGAAAATTTTACTATTAATACTGCTATGTTACTGTGCCTTTGTTGCCAACACTCATAATTGAAGGAAACAGTATATTCCAAACTGGCTGGGTGGCTCAAGGTTGGTTGGAGTATCATCTGAATGCACCAAGGTTTCCGGTTCAATCAAACCAGGGCACATATGGTGTTCCTAAGTGGTTAGAGCACGATTAAGGGTTCAATTCCCAGTCAAGGGCACATACCTGAGTTGCAGGCTTCAACCCTGCTAGCAGGGCACATGCAGGAGGCAACTGA